GAAGATGTGCAGCCCTTCCAACACCAGAACACACTGACCCCTGTCCCACAACCGCCAGTGCAGCACGTCGGACCTGGAACAGCAGGGACAGCAGGGACAGCCGGCCAGCGGGCCGCTCCGGGGCAAAGCGTCAGCAGGTGGGCTGTCCTCCACCTTTCACCGCAGGAATTGACATCCGAGTAAACAAAGCCGACCCGGGCAACCTGGCCTGGAGCTGCCGAGGCGGTCCAGAGGCATCCCCACTGCTGTCCCCGGACACGCCGCGGCAGGCGCCTCGTGCCAGGAGCACAGGCCAGAAATAGACATAAGCAGATCACTGCAAAGAGGATTCGGCCGGAGCTGCAGCCCGGGCTCAGGCCGCGCATCTGGATCATCCGTCCCGCGGCTCTGCTCCTCGTTTTTAACCCTGTCCTCACAAGTGCGCTCCAGGGCCGTCCAGGCCCGACCACACCGGTCACCAGAGGCGGCGCACACCTTTACAGGGAGCAAGGGACAGGGCAGAGCACAGCTCTCTGCCACGCGCGTCACTGTGCCTGTGCGTGCACGAGCGAGCAAGCTCCCTTCTGGGAAAACTCACTTCCAGCTATCTCGAGCAGAGGCCACCATCTGACTTTTCACCCTGAACATGTGGGGAGAAAAAAATCTCTTGGAAAAGTCCCCTCTGCGCCCCCGAGTTCCTGTGCTCTAAGCAAGGCTCTATGGTTTTCAAACAGACTGAGAATGGATCCTCCTGAAGTAGCAGTCAACACTGCTCAAAAATGATTAAAAACTATGCAAATGATACCTGGTTTGGCCTAGCAGCACAAGCTGATGAAGAAAGTCAACAGTGGGGTTTGATACCACAGCAGGCAGGGCGTATTCTCAAGTGGATTCTTTGCTAAGAAAAGCTTTAATCACAATAGAGAACTATAAGCCTTTTCGTTTTTGTTTTGAGGGGGGAGAGATAGCCTCGTCGATGAAGGGGAAACCAGGGATCCTTGATTAACACCAGACCCATAAGCGGGCAAGCCCAACATTATCGTTAGACTGCTACCTGCAAAGACATCACAAAATACTGCTGCTTCAAAATATACAGCAGAGCAGCCTCTACAACTGCTGTATCGGCCCTTATCCAATTCTCTTTATGACCCACATTTGGGAGAATGCGGCTCACTTGACACATCTAGTAAAGGGACAGTGCTGAGTTAGGCGCTGCACACTAGAACAAGTAACTGCGTTTTCTGCTCCAAATGCCTAATTTAGGTGGTACTCCACAGAGGGCTTCCCAAGCAGTACAACGTGTATTACAAGCAGTGAGTATCAGCTTACCTGGAATCGCTCACGTACAGGGATTAGCAAGGATTACTGAGGTACCTGACAGGCTGGACTCCGGGACTGAGCCCCCCCTCTGCAGCGAGGGGTCCTGGCAGCAGATGTTCTCCCTCTGTGCCTCCCGGCGGTCTGCCCTGCAGGTAGCAGGCCTCTAAACCTGCTGGAGTCAGCAGGACGCAGTTTACTTTGAGCCTGTTGTTTTCCGTCACAAGGATTACGAGAGTAAAGCACACAACTCGCACAGCACGGACGACGCCTGTGGTGAGGGTTTCAATCGACAAGGGATACCTGTGGAGCCTCCTTGTGAATTTCACGGCAACCTACATTTTCAATAATCAAGACCCGAGCGACAGCAAGGGTTGAATGACTACCTTAAAACTCAACTAGGTCAGCCTTAAACACACAATGCTTTAGGATGTTCTCAAGAAAGACGCAGTTTCTAAAATGCAATGGACTTCACCTTACCCTCAATCATACGAGCTGGAGGGGGCAGAGGTCGCGACATGACCGCTGAAAGCTGATCTCTCAGACAACCATCACGTACGGACACTGGAAGCGTGTAATGCTCTTAACACGCTGAGAAGGGAGCAGCTTTATAATCCTGGTTAGACTGAAATGCAGCCTGGAAGGAACAAGGAGCTCGTCACTGTGCGACATCACAGGCCGAACACTCCTGCACCGGCTCTGCTGAACTCGACTGTGGAGGGGAATCCGCCTCTGCACACTCTGTCCTGCATACTCCTGTCCAGCTCGCTCAGTCCTGCAGTGTCTTCCTGCAGGTTCTGTCCTGCATACTCCTGTCCAGCAGTGTCTTCCTGCACAGCACGCTCTGTCCTGCACGTCTTCCTGCACACTCAGTCCTGCACGCTCCTGTCCTGCTGGCGCCACTCTGCCCGAGCACCATCGCTCTCAGATGGGCAGCGAGCTCCTAACGGACAGGAAGGCACAAGAAGAAAATGCCGCTGCACGTCCGCCTTTGCTCCAGCCCCTGGACTCACTGACACTCTCTGTGCCACCTGCCCAGGTGCAGTTATTAATTGGTCGTTTTGGCACTTTTGCCAGTTTGCTCATTTTCTATATTGAAAAAAAGATTCTGAAAAGTATATATTTTACATAAACGTCATGTTGGAAAAATTACACCCATTAAATAAGGTGATCTCTTTGTTCTCAATGAATGAGTCATCCGCTGTCCTCATTCAGAAAGAATGCAGTGGAAACACTGAACCATCATTCTCCCATGTCTTTTTAAATGTTCAGTGTTAAAGGCATGTCTATCCTGATTGCCACAGTTGACAACCAGAAGAGCCCATCGTAAAACATAACACTGTGGCAAAAAAAATGTTAACTACAAGCAACTCTGCATGGATGTCTAATGGACTAACGGTTTACCAGAAAACATTCACCAGCGATCGGGATTAGTGCTGGATTGCCAGTAACAAAGGTGAAGAAAAAGAACTAAAAACTATTTTTTTCAGATCTTGGTATCCAGTGATGAGTCCTGCAACCACACAGGGGGGAGAATGAGGAAATGGAGACAGAATCCTCCCCCAAATCCACCTTCAAACCAATCGTCTTTTAACACATCACAAGGAACACAGGACTGATTGGAGGAGATGCGCGTCCCTCACTGACGGCATCACAGGCCTGCAAGCACCCAGGAGACCACAGAGATCACCCTTCTGCTGGGAGCTGAGAAATCACACCCATACCCTTCGGTGGCGCTCTGCTGTCATGTGCAGAGTCCCGATCACGGCCCTGAGTGACAAATATTTCCACCAGTGCCCGTTTGAAATTCCACGGGAGTTATTTCACCACAGCAAATTATAAATTTACAGGCACGTTAAAAAAGGAATGTAGCATTTGCAATTGTTACAAAGCAAGAAAAGGCAAACACATTTCAGATATCCACTCCTACACTTCAGTCAGTCTGCCAGTTCATATCAGATCCACAGCTTTCTGACCCATCAGAGCATGTGGACTCCACACAGACAGACACTTGCAGCTGGACTGGAACCCAGGACCCTGGAACTGTGTGACAGCAGTATGAAACACCACATCCCAGAGACGCACGCCTGCATCATTGCCAGCTGGTCACTGCCAGCAAAAGCCAGTGCATCCTGTCCGAATGGATCACTATTTGCAGATGGAGGTGAGACATCGCTCACTGCAATAGTTTATCGACAGCTACCGCTCGAAGTGCAGCCGTCTGCAAAACTACTCTTGTTTGCAGGTAGTTCACTGTTGGGACAGAATGCACAGCAGTCAGGTGGAATAAAAAATTCACAATTCTAAATTGGAGATAAAATGAAGACTTTTTCTGTGGTGATTCTCATTTTAATTTTGCTGGCAAACTCGACTTCTAGTTCAAGGTCATAAACAACGACAAAAACGGAGGCTGGCTCTGCCATGTTCCTACACGACACTTGCAGGAGCCACACAGACGCATGTTCGAATGCACACAGCACCTACAGCCCTGGATGTCTGCAACAATGCCTGTATCCACGTCCTTACTAGGACTTCCTTGTGCACCCTGAAAACTCCGGTTCGCACCGACATCACGTGTTTAATGACACAACAAGAAGTGCACAGTACTTAGCCTCTCACCCTGTCGCTCGGGAAGAGGGCTGATTTCAGATGGAAGTGGTGCTATATTTGCATGAAGGATTAGGGATGTAGACTGCCCTGCCCTTGAGTACACAAAGTCACATTTTGCCGAACAAAGATGCTCAGAGCTCTGTAAATACACTGCCACCCTCCCAATGAAACAGTCATCTGCACTGCTAACAAATGAGTTTTTAAAGTACACCAAGTCAAAGAGCACGCAGATTACTACTGAAATATTCAATCTCTTCAGTACAAAATATTAACCCCGCTCCAAATCTACAAGTCCGACACAGAAGACGCATGAAGACCGAGTTTCTCTCGAACACGCAGGTAGGGACAATGGGGAATTTCTATCCCCCTCTCCAGGGTCCCTGGATTACGCCGAGCCTCAGATGCTATCGAAGGACCCACAGCCGGGGAGCGGATTATTCTATTCCAGACGCTGGCGCCCCCTGTGAGTTGCAACACCTGCACAGAAAAACTCTCCCGAGTGTCGAGCTGAACCGCAGAGCGAACGGATCCTCATCCTTTGCAATTTGGAGCAGCTCGTATCAATGGTGCTGAGCGGCTCTAAACTGGTTCCACAGTCCAGGTGTGCGAAGAGAAACAGGAAAGCAGCCCGAAGCTATAAAAACAGGTTGGAACATCACAGCCCAAAACTGGTGTACACACACATTTTCAAGAGTTAAGAGAGAAACTCTGCTTATTCCCGAGCTTCTCTCATTCCCTCTTTGTGTTTCTCCATCGTATGTGACGGACTTCTCCAAACAGTGGGGAAAAGACAAAGCACTATCAAAGAACCCACAAATCTTCCCGTCTGACAACAACGTGCCTGCTCCCAGGCACACTGGAAACCTTGCCTTCCGACCCGGAGCGTCTGCAGTGCTGAAGAAGAGCTGCTGATAAGAGCTGCGGGATCGCGATAATTAGGAATTTGAGCCCCCCCCCTCGTTCCGAAATCTAATTAAACCTCTTCTTCTTGAGCCAGTCCCTCGAGGAGACAAGGTCAAGCCCTAGAAAGTTTAAAGTGGCACTTCAAACTCCTGCATCTCACAGAGCCAGAGCTGCAGGCTGGGACCCGGTACCTTTCAGCCGGGCCCTGCTGGGCCGGTGCAGCCCGGGCGCCGCCCCCTCGTCCTCGTCGATCGTCTGGCCCATGGACAGCAGGCCGAGGCGCCTGATTCGGAGCAGCCGGGGGGCGCCGTCCCGTGAAGGCGCCCCGGCCTCCAGCCCCGCGTCCCCGGACATCACCGCCGGCACCACTCTCTTCAGGAAATCCATTCTCAGGGCCCGGCCCTACGCATGCGGCGCTGCCCCGCGCTGGCCCGCTCTCCCTGCTCCGCGCGCTGCAGGCACCAGCGCACCTGCCCGCGAGGCTCCGGAGAAACACAGAAAAACAAACAGCAGCAGCAGCGGAGCGGCGGCTCAGCTTTCCAAGGTGATGTAATTGTGCGTATGGGTGGTGCCACGAAAGAGCAGGTCAAGAGCCAAGCGCTATCAGGGCAGGATTAGAACATGCTCCACTGGCAGGCTGGTGATAAACACCTGGGAAGGGAGCCAATCCAAACGGAGATGACAATGAGCTCCAGGAGCGCGGAGCGTCACGGCTGCGTCTGCGGATCTGCTGCCCGCGAAGGGGGAGTGAAGAAGAAGCGGGCGTTGGCGGTCCCAGCTGCTTTCGCTCGCTGGAAGGGGGAAGAGGCCGCGCCGGCTCCACAGGCAGAGGAGAAGGGTGTGGTGCTCCAGCCCTGCTGCTGCGGCAGATAACAGTTATCATGGAGACAGGCGGCCGTGCTCGCCGCCTTCTCCCAGCGCGCCAGCTCCCACGTGCCCCGGGGACGAGCCTCCGCCTCCAGCTTCATTAACACGGAAACCTCCTTCTCTTCCCCCAGAAGGAGAAGCGCATTAAGAGTCTCTAATAACGAGCCTTCCCAGGGCGCAGCTCAAGCACGAGGGACCTGTGCTCTGGGCTCTGCCAGGCTGGGCTGCTCACGGGCGCCCGACAGCCTTCCTTGCACAGAGGGGCGGGAGCGGCCGAGGACCCAGGAAAGGGGGAAGCAGGACAGAGTGGGGACTGCAGGGATCCCGACTGCTTCCCAGCAAGAAAGCCGCTTCTGGGCCCCAGACTCGCCGAAACTGGGCCCGAGCATGGCTCCGGGCCTCCAGACCTATCGTGTAAATACCATCGGTTCCAGCAGCACGGCCTTCGCCAAGGGGGGCAGCATCACCGGTTTCAATAGGAAGGAGCAGGCCTTCCCATTACCTGGATCAGAAACTAATCTTGTGGCTCTCAAGGCCAAGCATGACCTGCCTCTGCTGTGCTGTACACACTAAACAGGCTGGCCTTTCTCCACAAGCGCTTAGTGTCTGGGCATGTTATTTACAGAGATGTAGAAAAAAAGAAAACGTCTCTTTCTGAAACAGATTTAGAAGTTTAGCTCAAGAAATGTGAACCACAACCAGCATTTGCCTGAATACAGGGGTAAACAAAATTATCTTGCAATAATAGAACATTGTACCTTAACTGCTTGCATTTATACAGCACTTTTCATCTTCTCAACGAATTATAAAATGCTGTTTACATCTTGGGTGGAACACCCGCAGCCCCAGATGAGCAGATCAGGTTGAAAAGTGAGATGCTGAATTGCTGGAAAGTGCCTCTGCAAACTCCAGAGCGATGTTAACATCAGCATTTTTAACCACAAATGAAAACTAATTACATAAATCGATCACCTTCTCGGAGCTCCGACAAGTCTAATTTTCACAGTTCATGCCTTTTTCCCTGTGATCACAAAGTGACTTTTAAAGGCCAGAGGAGAAGTCCAGCACTATTTGGCTGACACAACAGTACGCTGTATTCGGAGAACGGGCTGGTGACGCACGGCGATGGGCTGGCTGGGCTTCCGGTGACCCCAGCACACTGCAGAGAAGAAGGGAAGACCCAGTGTCAAGAACACACCCCTGGGCCCGGCCGGGAGTCTGACCAGCAAGCACAGTCAACACGAGCAGCACCGTGCTCTCCGTTAAAATGCAGCACCATCATCGTGACGTGTTCAGCTCAACAGCGTTCAGAGAAACGTAGGGATAAGCACTTCTGTGCACGTTTCAAACCGTTTTTTTTAACAACGGCGCTGAGCCAGTTAAATGTAACAGCAGCGATTTTTGAGCCAAAATCACAGACTCCTTTTTCCACAGTGCCGATTTCAGCATCAGTGCCGAATAGAGATGGCTTCATGTCATCCCCGGCTCTGCACTCCTCAGCCTCACCTGTAAATCACAGCACTGTTTGACATGCGATCGCTCCTCCACAGTCCCTCCACGCCCCTGCGCGGGCCAGGAAAATCACAAACTGCCTCGATGCAAATAAATAAAGGGCTTTATGAATGGGCGTTTTCACATTACTGACGATGCTTCTTGGGAAATGACCCACTTCCTTATTACTTTATATGTTGGCCTCATGTTCCCTGGGAAAATTTAAATCTAATAATTGTCTGTTCCCTAAAGGAACATTAACCATAACATATTTGAGGAAGAGAAAAAAAATGAAACTGGCACGGCTTGAATTAACTCTTTGAGCGGCAGACAGATATCAGCAGGGCAGACTCTACCCCAGTGCCGTCACAGCAGCTCATCTCATCGGAAGAGCATCACTCCTGCCCGACATTTCCCGGCAAAATAACCACCAGCAGATCATTGACGGCCCGAGGGACGAGACGAGGCCCGCTGGCCTCCTGCGTCACCGGGGCCCACAGGAGACGGCCCCCCGGGCCCCGGTCTCGCACAGGCGCGGCAGCGCAGTGGGCCAGCGGCATGGCGCTCGGCAGGACACGAGAGGGGAGACCGCTGCCGAGGAGGAGATCGCAGCTACAGAGCTCGGCAGGCTTTCAACAGAGACTCAGTACTTCTGAAAGGAGGGGTCAGGATGTACTTAAGAGGGTTGTCGATACCTTCAATGTTTTCACACTCGCTCAGCGGGGAGGAACGGAAACCTGACCCCGACAGTTTCGCGGCTCCGTTTCAGCAGAAGGGCTCCCGCGGGCCGCACCTCTGCCTCAAGCGGAGCTCCGCGAGGCCCGTTAGTGAAGCCGGTCCAGAGTTCTTCTACACATCAGGAACTGGCTTTCACTCGCCAGCAAACACCCCCTGTCCTCTGGTTCGACAAGCAAGGGGGGAAAGCCAAACAAACGGCGCTTGTCATGCAGGAACCAATACGTCAATATTGCAGTCAAAGTACTGTAATTCCGAGTGAAAGCTCATTTGGGCCACTTAGCCAGGAGCGCTAGTGTAAGAAAGCAACCAAGCAAGCATGGCCTCCCATAGAATTTGAAGAAGTGATTCTCTGTGTGTTATCATTTTCATGATCCTGGAGCCGACGGGAACAGAGTCTAGTCTTTGGAGCAAAAAAGTATTTTCACTTACAAAACTGGGTCATTAAGCACATGCTGCAGCTCTCCTCCCCTGTTCAAACAACACCAAACAATCATCACGCATTACCGTTGAGTCACCTTAGATGTACCCTGGGTTAAACCCGCTCCTCAGACCTGTTTCAACCCGTTGTCTAAACCTTCCTGTAACAAAGCATTCCAGCACTGCTCATCTCACGCGATTACAGAACCATTCGAAACCGAAATGAAATCCATGTCAGGTTGATGAGCCCTTATGATCTGCATACATAGGCAGATCATGGACTCCCCAGCTGAGCAGGTCGATCACAGTTTTAGGACTGTGGACTGGGCCCACAGCTGGCGAGGGGTCCGTCGCTATGCCCGTGGCTGGGCCCACAGCTGGAAATCTTCAGATAGTACACATAATCCCATTTTCAAGCCTGTCAAACCCATTTACACTTTAAAACTCCCGCACCATTCCCATTTTCACTGGGAATGGTGCGGAGAAGAACGTCTTCTGGATTTCTTACAGCAAGATGTCAGACGCCATGTGCACACATCAAACACCAAGAACCAGTTTTAACCAGAGGATTAAAAATAGCAGGAGGTTTATCGAGGGCGTACGCTTCTGATCAGGAGGCAGCGGTTGTTTAAACCGGTCACGTAGGTGGCATTCAGCTCAGGTCTGCAGGCCCCATGGCTGTTGAAACCTTGCAAAGCATTTACAGCACATAAAAACGTTAGAACCGGACCACGTGAAAAGCACTTTAAATGCAAACAGTAGGTACAAAGGAATTACAAGGTCTAATAGATTACTTCAGGTATAAGAAGTCTTGCTACTTGCCTAACACTTTTAAAAAAACCTATTTTGTTCTGAGATCACACTCCTAATTAATTCAAGTGGCTCAAAGATACATAACAGGGTGAGGGACTGCGATGTGTTCAATCTCTGTGCATCTCTGGCCAACTCACTTACTCACTGCCACTACATCCGCAGCTCTGCAGACCAAGAAACACACACACACAGACACAGCCACTGGAAGCAGAGTGGATGCTTCATCTACAAGGAATCGCCAAACCTTCAACAAGTCAGGTCTTTCAAATCAAGAGGCATTTTTTGCCTTGTTTCAACTGTCAATAAACACGGAAAAAATAACATAGGTAAAAAAACAGAACACCAGCAGTGAGAAGTGTCAGGAATGCAAAAATGCTTTAACTGAAATTACCCAGTTGCTAAAAGTTACCACTGAGCCTTTACATTATTTAATCAATCTGCTGCACAGTACTGGATCTCTAAAACCTCTGCACATTCTGTCTGCCGAGTGTTTCATACAACTAAAAGCAATATTTGATTTAGTATCATTAACGTAATTTCAGTGCTCATGATGTATTTTCAGTGCTACAGTTGACAGAAAAATATGTTTTGATTTAATTTGAAGTCAAAGTATGTTGCATTACTGCACCCTCTTTCACGGCTCAGAATGCAGACACCTCTCTTCGGTCAGATGAGCTGCTCTGAATGAAATACTAAATCAATCCATACCTACAGAACTCAAACCATTTTTGCTGAGGCTGCAATGTTCTCTGTGAGGAGACGGATTTATTCAGAAAGTGCTGATGATATCTGAGCAGAGAGCAGCCGGGAGAGCGCAGTCGTATCCAGGAGGAACCAGACACGTTCCAGGGATCAGTCAAGAAAACAGCCCAAGGCAAGAAAGCGCCAGGGTCAAGCTCAAGTTTATTGTTTATTCACGGCGCAATGAAATGCTTACTTGCATGTTTTCCTCACTTGACAAATAACACAACGATGACGTAGAAATGACACCACAAGGTGCTGGAGATCTTTAAGCAGCATTCAGATAGCAGCAGTGTGCAAAATGCAAGTAATGGCACTATTCTGAGTTCAGTGAAAAGAGCAGGGGAGAGTTAGTTGCCGTAGGAGGACTTAAGAGGTGGAGTCTAACGGCTGTGGGAAAGAGGCTTGCTTTTAAATCGAGAGGCCCGGACGTTTCCACCCCTTCCTTCTGGCAGACGATTCAGAAGAGAGACAACTGCGGGCGAGGTGAAGATGGAGTGGACAGAGGGGGCTCTGTACCAGTGAAGGACTGGGCCTCTGACGGCTCCCTGCGGGCCACAGTCTCTACTCGCTACCAGCGACCCCAAGAGGCGACAAACGAAAGACGCCGCGATGCTGAAGCCCTCTGCTCCGCTTTCAGAGAAGATCCTTCTAGGACCGGGGAAGACAAAAACAACGCCTGCCGTGACACACTCCAACGCCGGAGCTTTCCGAGAGGCAGGCCGCGCTCAGGCCGCTGTGCCGGGACACCTGTCTCCGCGATTTCCCCGCAGCGCAGGGCCACCGGGGCGCCTCTCGCTGCGCAGGGGACGGCGGGGGCCAGGCGGAGCAGCAGGTCGGCCAGCCTCTCCTCACCGGGTCCAGCCCGTGAGCCAGAGCCGCCTGCAGGCCCGCGGGGGGTGAGGTTTGGGG